CTGCAGATGTCGATTTCCTAGGCACCCTCGCCCTTGGCCGCTTTTTATACAGGGGCATTTAAAAATACAGAGTTTTCAAACACATCGATACAACGATGCAAACAATCGACAAGCGAAACTCTTCTATTTTCAAGCGGCGTTAATCCTCAAACTGCCAATTATCGGCTATTTCCATGGTTTGCAATCTGCATGGGGGCGTTGCCCACCTTTTGAATTATTGCTCCGCTGGATCGAAAGGAAATCATTAATCATTTAGAGTCGGTCCGAACGGTTTTCATGAACTTTTCAAATTTCACTCTCAATGTTTATCAGTTTTGCGGTTACAAGCGGCGGTTTTCAGTAAACCTATTTGGGCATGTGATAGACTTACAAAGAATGAAGTGAAGAAGAATCACTTAAATACAGAAACTGATCGAAATTCTTTTAAAATTCTGTGCTATTCTACTGAGGAATGTGCGATACCTTGAAGAAATGTTGTTGGCTTGGGAATGCAGGGAAAAGATAAAATTCTTTGGGTTCGTCACGTATTTTGGGCTAAAGATTGTGCAGAGTTTCCAGTACTGAATTTCCGAAACATTGCTTAAATTTACAGCAATTTTTCTGTGAAAACACAGCGACAATCGAGCGTTCACGCAGATATTTTTCGATAAAAATCGTCAACGCTTAGCGGATTTATGGTTGATGGTTAAAGTGCGGTCCTCAAAACTTCAAATGTACAACATCAATAAACGCTATTATCTTGCTTGCGAAGTGAACACTTTAAATCGATCTAATAAGACTTTTTCGATCTTCTCAAGTAAGGCAACAAACGATCTTCCAAAAATTCTGAAATTTTGAAGAAATTAAAATTTTCTTGTTAATAAATGACCCTTAAAATAAATCTAAAAACAAGTAAAAAAAGTAATCAACATTTTCCCAGTTTTCCAGTCCCAACGGAACTGAGTTACAGCGCCGATGCGTTGGGTTGGCGCACCAAGCCATTTGCGTACCACTGCGCCAACTAAAAATTCACGGAATTACCAAGGCCTAAATTCAGGTGTCTTCAGTTAGCTTGGTTTTCCCTTTAGAAGCGCCTCTGCAAGATGAATTTGAAGTTTGGGGCAATTTTCGAAAGATAACTTTGAGGAAAACGGCAATAGAAATAAATCGCAGTCCTCAACCCTTAAAAGCAGGGAATAACTGGTGGAGGCCATATTGCAAGCCGGTCATGTAAGACACCCTCTGCAGAGGTTTGATGGCAATATCCACTTTAGTCAGGAGGGCGGTGGGCCGGGGCCAATAAGTTACAATAATAGCCCCTCGTCGACAACCAGGGCCTCTGATTTATTTTTCTTTATCGTGTTAGTCGACAATCGAATTCCGTCCAGATAACGGCTGTTGAACCAGGAAGGTAAATATTGGCCTGCAAGAGACCCGATTGCTTATTAAGGAGGGAGGAGCGATAAGCCAGGCAAACTAACCAGCCGCAATCATTGCCGATGATTAATTGGCCATTGTTTAAACGAGCCCACTGCTAACGATTTTTTCCTCAAATTGAGCCATTCTGCTATAAAAACGAATGATAAATCAACGAGCTTCGGTGGTCGGGTCCATGGAACCCGACCACCAGAACCAGTTTTCCAAGCCACACGAAATTCCGCGCTTTGTGTGAACGGACTTGAACGTGTACAAGGCCAGGTCAGGATCGCGCTCTTATGACACCGAATGAAAAGTTTCAAATTGAAAGGCCGTTGCGCCTTAATGGGCTCTTCGGCAATAAGCTGGCCAGACTAATAAGTTTTCCTGCGGGCGAGCCGTTTCAAACTATAAAACACGTACTACTCGAATTCTTTGTGGAGACATTAAAACGTGACCCTCCGCTCTACGTACCGAATTTAACGATTCTTTACTTTCGCCCTAAAGTTTCCTGCAAAAAGTTCGCCGCAATTAAACGGGGAAAAACGGGTGGATGGCAAAAAGCACCGGATTGCAATCAATAACGCCAAACTTTCCCGCTTGCATCCATGTATGAAAACCACAAGGTGAAGGCTCAGTAGAAGACACCGATCAGTTTTTCCTATTTGATTTGAAGGCGTTCAGCTGTATCAGTCACCCTTAATAACTCGGTAAGCGTGCGTTTATTTTGGAAATTTGTTGTAGCGTGAGCCGCCCCCGTTTGGTGATTAATGGCGGTTGATGATGAAATTTTATGTTAAAGATTCCGCCACGTCACGTCCCTTATTAAAATACACTAAAATGTGCGAAAGTAATTGCCATCAGGATGATCGGAAGTATAATTAACATTTGATTTATGGGAAGGGCATTGATTGCGACAAAATTCTGCCCCCAAAACATCCATCAATTAACCCCATACAACATTTTCATTCCTTTCCTGGTGGCCCGCAATCGACATCTTCACGAAGAACGATTTATCGATCAAAGCCTTCGTTGTTCTCTGTCGTCTCATCTGAAGACTCATTTAGCCTCGCCCACGGCTTGGGTGATGGTGCATTCCTTTGCTTTTTTCTGTCGTGGAAAGAGCAGAAATCTTGGGTTATTGTTGCCACGACAGTAACAGAGTGGCCATTTTCATCGTTAATAAATAAAACTGCATGCAGAATCACCGATCTATACGATTCCACAGGAAAAACAAGTGTCGGTCAGATTTGTCTTATCTGAAAATTCAAATCGAGGCATGCAAATGCAATCGTCTATAGTCATGTTAAGCATAAGATATATTTTGGGTTTCAAAATATCGCTTTTCCGCCAGTATGTCGTTCTCCGATATTTATTAGACAAAAAATATGTGGTTGAATGAAGCCGGTGACTCTCAAGGTTTTCGAGATATTTCACATTGAAACTTCAGCGATTTTTCGTACTAAACTGCTCAACAAAATAAACGTTTCACATGCAAATTTGATCTAACTTTGGAACTGGATGCATTCTGATTGCTTCAAGCGATTTTGTTTCCGTTTGAAGCGTTTTTCAGCCCCATTTGTTTTCTATTTGTCAATGTGTTAATAAAAATGAAGCATCTCAGACAAATTTTCTATAGGCTGGCAATTGAAAAAATGCAAAATTTTGGGAAATTTGGCATGCTCCCAGTAGGACAAGAAAAACCAGGAACTTTTAAAACCCCAAAAGTTCAAAAATAAACCAAATAGCTCGAAACGGTTTTTCAATTTTTAGGACATCTCTTGTATTTACAGGCTGGTTTAAAAAATGAACTTGTTGGTCGTGCAGCGATAACTTGTTTGCTGACCGACAGGAATTTTGTATAGGTACAGGATTGCATGAAAACTGACTCAAATAAAAATTGACCTCCAAACCTGTGATTCTAACAGACATTCAACTAAAGCGAAGTTTCATGAAGTGAATCCATGCAACCCGGTGAATAATTCTTTTTCTAAAATCGATTGTGGAGTTTTAGCTTCTTAAACGATTTTCGAGATATAAGGTCCACCTTAATGCATGTGGTGTTTAAATACAAAAAAACCTTCACCAATTTTGCATAGTTTAATTTTCCACCGTGTGAGAAACTTTACCTGAAGCATTGCTTCTTTTGTAAAGATTTCTTGCAAAAACCAATAATAATTTCTTGCAAAAACGCGCACTAACCGAACAATAATTGATCTAAATAAGCATACAGAACAGACTACAGCAATCAGAATTTATTACAGTTCCAAATTTGGTCCAAATTCGTCAGTGTTGTTTGTTGAGCAGTTCATTTAACCCAAACTGCACCTCTAATTCAAAGAAATATTCTGCTCCAATTTTCAATCAAACAAAGATTAAACAATTTTTATTTAGGCACCTCAAGAACAGTAAGTATTAAACTACTTTTTGAACTCAAAATTTGATTTACACTTTCACACCTTGTAAACTATTAAGTTCTAGATGGGAAAATTTTGCCTTTTTGCTTCGACCACCCTGTTTACAGTCAAATCAGATTAAAAATTGGGATAGAAATGACAAAAAAATGCATTTGAAAGGACTATGTCGACTCATTCTTCTTATAGATTAATTAAACCATCGAGCACGCCATTGAAGCAGGCAATATCGCATTACAAGGCCCCGAAGAGCTCCGGGTGTATTCTCCAATTCCGAGATCGCTTTCAGAAAAAGTGAAAGAAAACAGACGACCTAGATAGGCAACAGAATTTCCCGATGCCGGCATGTAGGGAATCGGTTTTCTATATACCCACCTGACGAAATAAGAATAAAACGAATGAAAAGTGTGTGTGTGTTCAAAGGGCACAGCTTTATGGCTCTGAATCAACCGATCTGTGCCCTTCCAGCCGCGTCGCAAAGCTGAAACGTCGATGCGGGAAATGGGCTTCCTTCTTTTCCGGTTGTTTCCGTTTATGAACTTGAAAATTGCACCATTTTCTGCCTAATTTCGGGCTTCGTTTGGCTGAACTTGACGATATCGTCGTTTGCCACGCCACTGGCTGGTAATGAGCGAAACTGCCACTGTCCTGATCTTCTCCGTCCCTTCTACCTGCACCCGGCTTGCAACCGGTTGAAAGAATGTATATTAAACGTGCACCCCAAGCACAGGACTTTTCAGGGCTGTGCCCTTAATTCACTTCGATGGTTTAATGAAGTAATTGGATTCGGCAGTAATTTGGGGAGATTTCCACCTTTTTCCTAGCCGGTTCACATCAAGGACGTCGATAGAGATTTGGCTGTATGTAGGCGGTCTCCCATTGTCTTCCGTTATGAGATCAGGCATTCTTGGTTTTTTTTGGGTAAAACTATAAAATGTTTCTAGTAGTCTAAATCTAAGTAGGTAAGTAATGCGACAAAAATCCTGCTAAACCATTCTTTCCCTTGCAACTCGTCGACCTGAGATAAGGCAAACGTAAAAGACCCCAAAGCCAAGCAAACTCAAACCAGGTGTTTATTGTGGGCTGCGCAGGGACGTTTCAGCCCAACCTCACTCAAAGCTGCAAAATTTTCTTCTTGGACATTTGCCGGGCAGCTTAAAAACCGGACGAGTTCGCAGATCAGGAACTCACCTCTATGGTGCCGAACATGATGATTGGGGAGGCCGGAACAACACGGCTGCTCCATGTACATTGTCCAGCTGTTCTCAAAGTCCGCCTTTGCACTCAGAAACAAACAATATTGCACGAGAAGCACAAGGAAAAACAGTTTTGCCATGCGGCCCTTCGGCGTTTTGAATAGCAGGCGGATTAGAAACATTGTTACTGGCTAAAAATCGACTGGATCACAATGGAAACTGGCCTGCACTAAATGATCGGGTGTCTTTCAGGAATCATGCGGTTGGTGCCATAAACATCGTTTGTGTCGGAGCGCGTGTGGCGGATGAAAGCGCGACCTCCATACACATCTGAAGAACACGCCGAACTGAAACCGAAGCTCAAAGCTCCGAAATCCGAAGCTCGACTCCGCTTCAGTAAATGGCCGTGTGTTCGGGGACAGTCGGCTCGACGCCCGAACTGTCCTTGGACACAATCGGAGTTTGTACATGTTTTTCAGTCGTTGTCCCGTTCCGTTTATTCACTCGTTTCCACTGATCGCTTCTGCTTTGAAGACGCATCCGATTGCTTTCATTGACTGACTCTCACCGGCTGTTCTCATGAAAAACCCAACAAGCTTTTCTCTTCTTTTAGCTGCACAGCTGGACACTCGAGAACGCTCATTCGGCAAAGGACACTGAATAACCATTTTATTCAAATTAGGATTAAATTAGTTTTTAAGGAACTTTTGTTGGTGATTTTGCAGCCATAAGAGGACTAAAGGAAAATTGATAAAAGCTGCAAAGAAGTTACGATCATGGTGGTAACAGAAAATGAGCAGAAATTGGGCTAAAGGTCTCAACAGAAAAAAAATGCACAATATGAGGAAGATGGAGTCAAACCAGAAGATGTAATTAAAACAGCAAAAAACACATCTAAGAACAGAAAGTCGCAAGAACCAAAAACATTAAGCACAAAAGTGGAAGTGAAATAATGGAGGAAAAAAGCTGATCAAATCTTGGAAAAGAGCAAAGATGAAAAAGACTACCAGGATACCAGAACCTCAAAAGAATCTAACTTCCATGAATCAACAGTGGCCACTTCTCGTGTTAACGGAAACTCGGGAACTTATTCTTCATAATCAAAAAAGTGCAGAGGAAGATCTCCATATCTGATTTTTTCAGCTTCTTTAAAGAACCCAAAACAATTCTAAAAATGAAAATCCCGTAAATAATGTCCATCATTCTTGATCACCAAAGCAACAAAGACTGTTATTTAGAGACACCGTGTCCATTATCTATAGCGAAGGTTCCTAATTTGAGTATTCCCTATTAATTTATGGGCAAAGAGGCATGTGGTATCGGGAACTGTTCCAGCTTTAGCTCAAAATAGATTTTTTTAAACTCTCGCACCCAATTGTGGTTGAGTTACGGCATTCTTCCACGTAAACTAGGCCTGGGTAACTCAGTGAATTTTTAGGAATTGGCGCAGCGCGACGCAAATGGCTTGGTGCGCCAACCCAACGTACCGGCGCAGTAACTCAGTTTCGTTGCTGGGAAAATGTTGATTACGTTTTTTCTTAATTGTTTTAACATTTATTTTAACGTCGGTGTTAAAATAATGACAAACGTAAGGCATTTTTTCAGAAAAATTATCAAATAAATTGTACTAGAACACATGCCTCCTTCGTCCCATTGAAAAAAATTTCGAAATCCGTTGCCAGTTTCGAATTTGGCACAAAAATAAAATTATTTTTTATCAAAAAACGAACAGATTTAGCGGAAGTTTATAATACAGTATTTGGACAACTGACAAAATGCTGGCAAACTGAATCTTTAATGCAAGAAAATTAAGAGATCGATTTTACAAGAAAACTCGTCGACTTTCTAGATGACTTTTATTTAGTTATTTGGACAAAGTAGTAAAGCAAAATACGCGACGAACGCGAATAACTTTATAATTTTCAAGCATTGTCACGCTAAGAAACATTCTTTTAGATAACGCATACACAGGCGGGTTTCTTAGTAAGATAGCAGACTTTTAGAAAAATCCCAGTTAGTTTGGGTTAGTGCTGAAGAAAAATTGACCAATACCTAACCCAAACAAACCCTTCAAAATGTCCTTAATCTCTCGTTTAAAACAGGGCGATTAAACATCTCCACAATCACTAGAAGATCATTTGTTTCCTCACTTGAAAATATCGAAAAAGTCTTGTTATATCGACGATTTGATCGATTTAAAGTGTTTACTTCACAAGCAAGATAATAGCGATTTTGATTTATTGATGTACATTGGCAGTTTTGAAGAGAAAAGGGGCTCTCAATATCTTCAGGTGATCGCAGAAAGGCGTTTGCATCCTAAAAAAGTGACCGTATGGTGTGCATTATGGTCCGGTGGTGTTATTGGCCCGTATTTTTTTGAAAACGATCAAGGAAGAGCCGTGACAGTCAATTCTGAGAGCAACAGAGCAAACAATTTCGAACACAGTGGAAACATTTGAAGAGACTGAATCTGTAACTGATATTGTAAGACCTGTGCATCATTGCAACATTCTTTCATCTGAAAATATCGCTGTTGTTGCTCAAAGTGTGGAGGAAGACCCGAGTTCGTCGATTCCCCGACGTGCTCAACATTAGGGCTTGTCTTACGGCTCATTGTGGCGAATTTTGCAATTGGATTTGAAGGTCCATCCGTACAAAGTCCAACTGACTCAAAAACTTAAGCAACAAGACCATGGGAAACGCAGAACATACGCAAATTGGGTGGTTGAACAACAAGCTGCTGATGACGATTTTTCGAACCGAATTTTCTTCAGCTACGAAGCTCATTTTTGGCTCGGTAGTTACGTGAATAAACAGAACAGCCGTATATGGGGCTCTCAAAATCCTCAGGGGATAGCAGAAAGGCCTTCGCATCCTGAAACAGTGACCGTATGGTGTGCATTATGGTCCGGTGGTGATATTAGCCCGTATTTCTTTGAAAACAACCAAGGAAGAGCCATAACAGTCAATTCTGCGCGCTATGGACGCATGTTAACCGATTATTTTTGGAGAGAAGTTAAAGATTATGATCTGGAAGACATGTGGTTCCAGCAGGATGAGGCAACGAGTCACACAACTCTGGCAGATAGAGCCCTATTGCAAGAGAAATTTCCAGAACGCGTAATTTCTAGACTGAGTGATGTCAATTGGCCCGCAAGGTCCTGCGACTTAACACCGTTAGATTTATTTTTTTATGGCTATGCGAAAGATCGTGTTTACGCCAACAATCCTCAAACTCTTGAGCAACTGAAAGCCAACATCCGTGAAGTTATGACCGATATATTACCGGTAATGTGCCGAAAAGTCATTCAAAATTACCTCAAAAGGATTGAGGTCTGTAGGAGGTCCCATGGAGCACATTTAAATGATCTTGTTTTTCACGTGTAATGGCAAGGTTTAAGTTTTATATTGAATTAAAATTTTCGTCTCCATCTGAATATTTCGTGTGTTTTTTTTTACTTTACTTTGCCAAGCATAAAATGGATAACCCTGTATAAACAGACCAATGAACCGTATGATATTTTGACAATATCCGGCAGATCCAGTTGAAAAAACCGGCCCCTTTATCCGAAAAGCGAAATCTCCCTCATCAGCGTTGACATGAGGTCGAGCCGGATGAGTTCAGCCAAAGATTTGCACATTTTAAACCGAAAAATTTACGAGCAAAAGCACGTGTAACTTGGTTTTAAAAGTGCCCGCTTTATGTAAATCTCACTTGTTATACGAAATTTATGTACGAACTTGTAATTTGATTTATTCCTTAGGCCACACTTGTTCTTCAGATTCGGCAACATTAATTGAAATCTCCGCGCGGTTGGCCTTTTGTGCGCTTCTGCACAAGCAGCTCGAACTGGTAAATCGGTTTAGCACCGATTAGCGCGAAATATATCATAAAAGCTCGAGGGCGAGCAGCTTTATTTTAACCCGGGAGCAAGTGGATTTGCATAAAATCGCGTAAGCCCTTGCCGAAAGGGTGAGACCAAGTATTTCAGTTATTTGGGATTAAGTCCAACAAGCCACCCCTTTCGGAAAATATGCACTCGGGTTTATTCGGCTATTAATGGAATTTTTCGCACTTTCTCTACTAGATCATTTGAGATGCTTCACCCCGTCTAGTTCTAAGCAACGCGAGATTTAACCAGCCGCTCCCCATCCATTCAACCTTTCAAAACATCAGATTAATTACCAAATGGTGCGCAGTTTTTCAGTTTTTTGCAACGAGTTATCAGCAACATGAAATCAAACAAACACACTAATTATTAGTCGGTACAGAGTCTGCGTGACTCTGCCTCAAATACCTTAACGTCTAGTTAGAGCGCTGTCATGCAGCCAGAACATAATTGCAACCCTGTCTGCCTGCCTGTCTGCACGCACCTGCAATAATAATATGAGAAAAATATGCTCCTGTTGACATTTTTCCCCAACTACGGAATTACTGCTGAAGCGACCAATAACAGAAACACGCTCGTGCAGACCGGAAACTCTTTGCGTTGCATGTGCAATGCGGAAGCGATGCAGGTCAATTGTGAGGATGCAGAACTGGGAGGAATTTTCGCTATGTTTTGCAGCAGAAAAAAATCAGCAGAACCATGAAGAATTGGTTGGGCAATGAAGAGCCTTGGCTGTAAAGGAGCAAATGCAGCTAAAGTGAAAAATAAAGGAGTTTTTGCTTACATTTTGCGTTACCAACTGCTTATTTGGGCTTTTTGTTGGACTTTTAAGCCGTCATGGAAAACAACTGTTGCCTGAAACTTCTTCAGCGTGATGCTGCCTTAAGACCGAAAAAATCAATTTCAATTTCAGTATGTTCCGTTCAAAACCTCATAGCAACTTTTTTGTGTGACCGTTCATCGGGCTTTCCACTCTCGATATGAAATTTGACTAGCAATATCCGTGCTCTATCTCTAATTTAACTGTAGCTTGTCGCTGTGTCACTGTAAAGGTTCCGGTATTATTTGGCAAATAAATGATGTAGTTCCTCCATTCCATCGAATGTGTGCGTTCGTGTTTATGTTGCTGACATAATGAAATCCCATATAGAGCTCTAATTAAAGCAGACACGATGCCCAGCTCGGTCGATCCTCCATCCACATACCTTGCATTCAATAAAATAAATGATTGAGAGGCTTTCAGAGCGCAAATCTCATTAAGTTTGTCCGAACTTCGCCGTTTTAAAAGAGATTCATTAAAACTTTCCTCTTCGCCTTCTTTTAAATAAGATGGCGAGCTTTTTATTTTATTACTGCTTAAAAGTAAAAAAACTGCCTCTTAAATTCAATAAGGAAGTTTTGCGAGCGTTTTACGTCAAAACAATCTCGACCTGAATAAGCTCTGATTGGCTAAAAGTGAATATTTACAGGACAAGAACTATGCCT